GGGCGAACAGGAGCAGCAGAGGGAGGAGGACAACGACGACAAGGACAAGAAGACACGGCGCCGCCGCAGAGGGCCGCAAGCCCAGCTGCGCACAGCAGCCGCGCCGCCCCCAACACACCGCCATAACCGCTGCTGCCCTGCAACTGTCTTGCTGTGTAGCCTGTGGATTCCTACAGCAAAGAAATGGAAAGCGGGAGAAGGGGGAAAGGCAGACACGGTGCACAGGAGGCGGCGGAGGAGAAAAGGAGAGAAGTGGGCGCCAGTGGGAGCGCACGACCCAACAGCAGCCGGCTCAGTAGTGCCAACAAAGTTGACTGGGACAGCCGGGAAGCCGCTGCGCCGCATCCGTGACGCCTTCGACGGACTTTACCGCACGAAGTTGCCCGGCTGCCCCCCCCCCCCTAGAGCACATTCAGCGGGCAAGACATTCGCGGCCGGGTGCGCCGAGGCCAATCGGCATGCGGCAGGCAAAGGATAGGCACGTGTCGTGACGAAAGAGGAGAGGCGGGGGTCTTGTCTTAACTCTTGCGGCTTTCACACGGACAGATACACGCCGTGTTGCGTTGTGCAGCGGGGGCACATTCCACAAACATCAGTGAAGCAGCCGGTGACCGCATCAGGGAAGTTGCCACCAACTGCCCCGGCGGGGCGACGGAGCCGTCGGCGCGCAGCGTGGCCGGCGACGCGGCGATGCGGCGTGCACGAAGGCGTCCCGCGGAGGAAGCGAAACGCCGGGCAGCACTGCGCCGCGGTGCCTCCTGCCGCCGCGCGCGGCCACGCACAATCGGCGCCGCCCCCACACCGCGCCAAACGGCGTCAGGCGAAGAGCGGCCGCGCGCGAGCGACCACCGCGACGACGGCGCTGAGGGCCCCGGCGCTGTCAGAGCCGAGCGGGAGCCACGCTGGCCGCCCACGGCCGGCGGCCGAGCTTGCCCTCGCGCGGCGGCGCAATTCCCCCTGCAGCCCCTCGACGTTTGGTCGCAGGCGTCCCACGCGGCGCCAGAGGGAAACCCGCCGCGGGAGTAACGGCTGCCGGCGGAGTGGCGCGGGAAAACAACGCGCCGCCATCCACGCAGCGGGGCACACGCACAGACGCCGCCGCGGCGCGCAGGCCCCACTGCCATGCAGGAAAAAAAAAACTCGGGCGGAGTGGGAGGAGGGCGCCCGGCCACGCGGTGCCACGCGCGACCCAGAGACGCCGCGACGCGCCCCGCCGGCACGGGGGAAGGCCTCGGCCCCCGCCCGCGGGGAGGCGCAAGTGGGGGCGGCGCGCCATTGCCGCACAACCACAACTGGCTCCGAAGTGAATGCGCCGCGGGAAGCGGAGCCAGCCAAGGCGGGGAGATTGAGGGGGGAGGCCACACACACGCACACACAACCAGGCACAGCGCGGCGGCTCACAAATCCCTTTCGACTCCTTCCTCAGGGTTGCCATTCCCCATCCGCACACGTCTAGCCTCATCCCGCCCCTAAACGGACGCCGTCAGCCTCACTTTCGTCGCCGTGCAAAGAAGTGGAGGCCGGGTCCGAGCGCCCTTGCCGGAGCCGTCCCCAAAGATGTGTTAGGAGCGGAGCGGCCGCAACGCATGCTCTTCCAGACGCATTCCGCCGTGTCAGAGCCCCAGTTTGAAACCGAGGCAAAGCAAAGTAAACTAAAAAGCCGATGCCGCTCCCTCCTCCGACGCACTGGCGGCATCACCCGCATCTTCGTTGCAGGGCGAGGACCGACCAGGACTTGGCTGGGCCGCACTGGGACCGAGCCAGCCGTTTGCTAAAGTAGGGGTCGGGCCACCCGATCCCTCCAGGCCGCATTTGGCTCGTCCGGCCGCGAAGGCCGCAGAGGGTGCGCCCCGGCGTGCCCCCTCGCACAAGCTGCTTCTCAACAACCACGGCGTGGCTCTCCACCTTGGCCCGCCCCTGCCGCGGAATCTGCCAGCGTGCGCGCCTGGCGGCAAAAGGCTGAGGGGCAGTGCGGGCGCCCGCGTCGTCCCGGGAGTGAAGCGCACCCACGCGACAGCGAAAGGCGCCATCGCGGCGACAGGCCGCCGCCGCAACAGCCGGGAGCGCCCGCGCACCCGCCAGGGCCGCAGAGCAGCAGCCGAGTCGCCCGCAGTGCGGCGGCCGTGCTCCCACAGAAGTGCGTCCCGGGGGCAGCCGCACATCGCCGCGGCCATAGCGCGGGCAACGCCGGAAGACACGCTGCGGGCGCGGGGCCACCGTCGCGCTCCGCAGAAACTCCGCCCCTCTTCGGCGCAGCGCGAGGGGGCGGGGTGAGAAGGAAGGCAGGAAGGAAAGAGGAGGCGCAATTAAACAGACCGGCACAACACTCGCGCGGACGGCGGCAACGGCGGAGGCGCCGAGCGAAGGAGGGGAACGGCCGGCGCTCGGAGAAGCGCCCATGGAAATGCGAGCAGCGAACGCAAACACGCAGCAGCAGGGGGAAAAAAGAAAAAAAAGAAGGACGAAAGCGATGGGGCGCGCGGAAGGGGCACGGGGGTCCGGCAGCAA